GGAGGAGCTCTGCTCAGCCACAAGCCAGGCTGATGGCTGCCAGTACAGCGGTGGTGGTGGGAGCCTCTCCTGCCTCCTCAGCAGCGCTAAGGATGTCCGACTGCAGCTTAGGCCTGCTCCCCGCTGGCAAATGGACATCCCCCGAGGGTTGCTGGGCTGCCAGAGGGATGTCTGATTGCCATCTTAGGCCCAATCCCCCAGGGAGCGGGCCTAAGCCAGCAGGTGGCCATCCCCTGAGGGGTCTCAGACTGCAAGAGGGCACAGGCCGGGCTAAGGGGCCCCCCTTCCCCCGAGTGCACAAATTTTTGTGCACAGGGCCTCTAGTTTTTACAATAACAAAGGGACAGAGTCCAGGTGAATCCCTTAGAATGCTAAGTATTAGGTTTGGAGATATAATATGATCCTATGCCACTAAGAAAACTGCTGTGCTTTGAGACTAGGTTTGTTTTTCTTCAAATTCATATTCTCCTATGAATAGCTAGGTCTTTCTGTTTTTACTTGTTCTTATATCCTATGTGCTGCCAAGTTTTAGATGACCAGCACCCCGGGAATTACTAGTATAGTACAGGCGCCAGGCAACCAGAACAGCATTGGCCAAAAATAATTGGCAGGATAAACCATTTCACAGCAACTCAGCAGAAAGGATTCTGAGGAACAACACCCTACATCTCTTCCCTCTATATAACATTTACATGAAATGCTTAGTTGTACATACATGCACAAAGTTTTCTAAAAATACAAACATGATTATTTGAAAATTTCATATAGGCATTCAAAGTACTTTAGCAGCAGCTGTGAGTGTCTTCCTATGTTGAGACTATGTGTCTTGACCAGAGAGAAACTGAACCAAGATTTACGTGGCTTTGATGTTTAGCACATTGATAAGCTTCATATTTTTAAATTCAGCATTTCTGGAGGCAATTTTTAAGTGTAAAAAGTCTGCTGTATACATATTTGAAAAGACAGAAGATTTAAGCATTTCAGTGTATTTACATTTTACCTTAAAAAATAGTAACAACAATCAAATGGGAGAGATGGGGAATATCTGTAGGTATCAATGAAACAAGAATGGAAGCCTGCTAAAATTGCTGAAGTTGGGTGATGTGAGTTTATTATATAATTCTGTTTACTTTGCATATAAACTTTTCCATGATAAATAAAACCTGCTACATCAAATAAGGACCCCTCCCCCCCAATTTTTCTTAATCTTATTTTATACCTTTTCTTCATTTTAGTTCAAATTACTTTCATCCTTCTTTAAGTGCACATACCAGGCCTATGCATTTTATAGATTTCATACTCAGTACTTATGCTTTTGAACCTTTCAGAACTGTATGATTTTTAAAGATAAGTAATGTGCCTATGTTGGAAAAAAGTAATCATCTTTGGTATTGAAGCAAGGTTATTTTTAAAACATATACACTTTTCATTGCCATATAATTTTATCAGGAAGGACTCTTAATTACTTTGAAGTTTCCAGTGGCATAAAAATCTGAGTCATACTTAACAGGTTCATTAGAAAGAGTCACATAAATATTCCCATTGTCCACTGTCACTGTATGAATCCTTTGCTTTATTCCTTTGGAACACCACTTGGGTTTTGCTGATGGGTCTTTAGGGTTTATAGACTGATATAGTCCTTCTCCTGTTGCCAAAGTAATTTTGAATTTATGCCAGGGGCAAACTATACACGGTCGTCCATCAAAATCCTAGGGAAGGAAATAATTGATTTAATAGTCTGATATTTCCAATGTTCACAATAAACCTCAGACTCAGCACGGAATCTATTGCAGAAGAACCAGGTTAAAGAGCAAGACAGCTTTTCTTTTCCCTCCCATTTAGAAATTATTCAGCATAAGGCAGGATCTAATCTTAGTAGTTATCACATCCGTTTTGCTATTGATGAGAAGATAGAGCTCTGCCAGATGATTACTAGCTCAGCAACTATACCTATTGCTGCAGCTGTGCTGTTACCTATTAGATGTCAATGTTACTTCCTTGACAGAAATGAGGCAATGGCTTCAGATGCTTCTTAAGGAATTTTCACTAACTGCTGGAAGAATGGTAAGCTTCAGGTATAATTCAAGAGAGGTTACTAAAAGCATGAGTGCATATATTAATTGAAGAGCAATTTACAATCCAAAGTAGTCAATTCTCAACTTCTTAATTGTATTAAAACGGTGCTTCTCAAATTTAAAAGAGCACAGGAGTCACCAACATTCTGTTTAAATTCAGTAGGCCTAGGGTGGGCGCAAGATGCTGCATTTCCAAGAAGCTTCCAAGTGACACCAATATTTCTGGTCTATGGAACATACTTTGAGTAGCAAGGTCTTAACAGCTCTCATGGTCTGTCATGGTCTGAAATTGGGAGAAATTCTTCTACATTTATCAGCACCAGGTGCTTACATTTTTTAAACACCAGAAGTGCTGGAATACTGACATTATATCCCCAGAAAACTGTTGGCAAAGATTCATATTTTCATAAATTATGAATTAATATTTTCATAAATTATTAATTATAAATTAACATTCATAATTTAAATACACATCCTTTTACATGAGGACATGAGGGCAGGTGGGGAACTAGGTAGATATGAAGTGTAGAGAGAGTAGCACACTAAGTTTAAGATTGTACTTTGTACCCGTCAGAGAAAGAGAGAGAGAGAGAGAGGGGGGGGGGGCTATCAGTTTCATGAAATAGAAAAACAGTATTCCATAGCATGGCTATTTATAACTTATTTAAACTGCTTCCTATTGTTAAAACATTTAGGTTGCTGTCATTTTTAAAAAATATATATTTTTATTGATTTCAGAGAGGAAGGGAGAGGGAGAGAGAGAGATAGAAACATCAATGATGAGAGAGAATCATTGATTGGCTGCCTCCTGCAAGCCCCCTACTGGGGATCGAGCCCGCAACCCGGGCATGTGCCCTTGGCTGGAATCGAACCTGGAACCCTTCAGTCCGCAGGCCAACGCTCTATCCACTGAGCCAAACCGGCTAGGGCTGTCATTTTTTATTACAATAAATAATGCTACAATAACCATCTCCTATATACATTTAAACATTTGTGCAATTATATCTCAGAGTGTAATCGCTAGGTCAGAAGACATACATAGTTCTCACACTTATCTGTGAAATGGTTTTCTTTACATTGTCGGGCTGAAAATTCCTAAAATATTAGCAATTATACTAGAAGCATTAAAGGATAGTGCAAAGACAAATGTCAATTATTTTTGACTACAGAATAAAATAAGAATATAAATAGAAAACATTTGAG